AAAGTCAGAAATGGGGTCATATTGAGGAAAAAAGTTTGGGAAGCGCTGCTTTAAGGGCACTATCATAGGCAGTTATACAGCTATAGTGATATATGTGTAGCAAAACTGCTCCAACTTTAACCCTATTTTATTCAGGTCAAAGTTTGGGAGATCTAGATAACTTATACCACTATGTAACTACACAGAAACTTAGATTGCAACAGCTGATGAACACCAGCACAGCAACTCTCCCTCCTGCTTTACCGCAGATAAAGAAGTGTTTGTCCATACCCTGGGAGGGAAATCAAATCGCTATCTTGGCTACTTAGGGTGGGCAAAGAACTGTCTTTGAAAAACAAGGAACAGATCAGACAAAGGTTGCAGTTCACTTACTCTTCCGGACAAAGCAGCCATAAAAAAAAAATGGCATTTTTAATAACAAGTAAATTAGCAAACATGCATTTAGAGCACGGGTTCCCAAACTATTGTATGTTTATCCCAGGGACACAAAAGACATCTCTGGGGAGAACGCAGGTGGATTTAATTTTCATTATTATAATAATTGGCATTTAAGGGGTTAAAATATAAAATGTACGCTGGTAGGGGTATGAGAGCAGCTGGTAAATCTGGAAGGAGGTATGCAATAAGAAAAGGTTTGAGAAAATCTAGTTTAGAGGCTCAGATGAAGGCTTCATAAATGGGGTAGGGATTAGGGTTAAGGAACAACAATAGATTTTTTTTGACTGGTAAATATTCACTTGACAGTTCATACATTTACATATAGGTCTTAGAACAATGTGTAGTTAAAAGAAGACGATGCTTAGGGACTTGCTGCCTCATTAGGGGAGATTAAAAAAATGCAGACAAACTGCTTTATTCATGGCTATAATGCTTTTCAACACTTTCATCCTCCTGTCTTCCCAAATCCGAGGTTGTACAAGCTGACCAAGGTAGGCCAGTCTATATTGCCAGGTATTAAATTAGAGGAACTGAAAGTAGTAAGACCAACTTCTAAGACCTCTCTCTTTTGGCATAAAGATATATCATGACGAACAACTGTGGTATGCTACTAACAATGAATCTGCTTAGAAAAGGAATGGCGTATCAAATGCTGTCCCCTTCTCTCAAAGGACAGGGAGTCCACAATAACAGAGTATTAAATGTAGGACTTTCAAGGGTTTTTTTCTGCCAGTACCCTAAAAGGTTACTTAATAAAATTAAATTATACTAATGCTAAAGTTTGCTGTTCAGCGAAACAAGCAGACAAGGCAGACGTTCTCTCCCTGTCACATTTGCTAAGAAGAAACTGAGAACAGTAGGGACTTTTAAATCCTTGTATAGGAGACTGTAAAGACATTTGGGGCCATGACTCACCCCTCAACAGATAATGATAACTAAAAGAATCCAATCTGCTGCATACGTGCCACTGGCAACTCACAGCACATGCACCCCTTAAGATTGGCCGTGCCCCCTGGAAGCACCAGCCGCAAAACTGGAAGTGCCAGTGGAAGTGCACTTCCGATTTTGCCGCTGGTGGTTCTGGGCTTGGTGATTGGCTGCGGGGGGGGGGGGTCCCCCCCCAGTTGGCAATCTGGTGCCCCCCTACACCCCAGACTTGGAAGGCACCAGTTGCCCATGACACATGCAGAAGGAAGGGAATCCATATGGACAATTATAGAACAATTTCATTTATAAAGTGACCAGGATGGGGAGACAAAGTGGACTTAATCTCTTCCTTTAATTACAAGATGTCAGTTTCCAAATAAGAATATGCCAGCTAAATTTTCTGTTCATAGAATCATATAAAATTAGGGCTAGAAGGGACCTCCGGAGGTCATCTAGTCCAACCCCCTGCTCAAAGCAGGACCATCCTCAACTAGATCATCCCAGCCAAAGCTTCGACTAGCTGCGTCTTAACTTCTAAAGATGGAGATTCAACAACCTCTCTGGATAACCTGTTCCAGTGTTTTATTACCTTCCTGGTGAGAAAATTCTTCCTAATATCTAACTTAAACTTCCCTTGCTGCAACTTGAGACTGTTGCTCTTTGTTTCATCATCAGCCACTCCTGTGAACAGTCCAATTCCATCCTCTTCCAAACCCTGCTTCAGGTAGTTGAACATTGCTATTAAATTCCCTCCCAGCCTCCTCTTCTCTAGACTAAATAAGCCCAGTTCCCTCAGTCTTTCCTTAGACGTCATGTCCCCCATCACTCACCATTTTCATTGCCCTCCACTGAACTCTCCCCAATTTGTCCACATTCTTTCTGTAGTGGGGGGCCCAAAACTGGACACAGTACTCCAGATGTAGTCTCACCAGTGCTGAATAGAGGGGAAGAATCACTTCCCTTGACCTGCTGGCAACACTCCTCCAATGCAGCCCAGCAAGCCATTACCTTCTTGGCAACAATGGCATACTGATGGCTCATACTCAGCTTATTGTCCACTGTAACCCCCACATTCTTTTCTGCAGAGCTGCTGCCCAGCCAGTCAGCCCCCAGCTTGTACTGGAGCATGGGATTGTTCCATCCTAAGTGCAGGACTTTGCACTTGTCCTTGCTGAACCTCATGAGATTCCCTTTGGCCCAGGCCTCCAATTTGTCTAGGTCACTCTGAATCCTAGCTCTACCCTCCACTGTCTCTACTACTCCCTCACCCCAGCTTGGTGTGATCTGCAAACTTGCTGAGTGTACACTCTATACCACCTTCCAAGTCACTGATGAAGATATGGAACAAAAACAGCTCCAGGACAGACCCCTGGGGCACTCCACTAGATACTGGCTGCCAACTAGACATTGAACCAGTGATTAATACTCTCCAAGTCCAATGCTCCAGCCAGTTTTCTATCCAACCTACAGTCCAACCCGTATTTCCTTAGCTTGCCTGCAAGAAAGTTATGTGAGATCGTATCAAAAGCCTTGCTAAAATCAAGGTATACCACATCCACCAGTCTCCCCACATCCACAGAGCCAGTCATCTCATAATAGAAGGCAATCAGGTTAATCAGGCATAACTTGCCACTGGTGAATCCATGCTGAGTGTTCCTTATTACCTCCTTCTCCTTCAAGTGGTTTGAGATATATTCCTTGATCATCTATTCAATGATTTTTCCTGGGACTGAGTGAGGCTGACTGGTCTGCAGTTTTCTAGATCCTCCTTTTTCCCTTTCTTAAATACGGACACTGTTTGCCCTTTTCCAATTATCCAACTCTCTCAGTACCCTATGGTGCATCCCATATGGCACCATGGACTTGTATATGTCCAGCTTTTTTAAATAGTTCCTATTTTTCTAGCCTTTACGGTCATGACCACTAGTCCTACTTCTGTTGCAATGTACTTCTTCCTCCTGCTTCTCCCAAATTATTTTAATGCATTGTTACAGTAGGTTTCAGGTATGTGATATAATTCAGTTTTTTGGCCCCCATTATTTCAACATGCGAAACAGAAGTCCTGACCTGCTCCAATAGTGTAAGATTCTTAGTGCCTTGTTACACCTTACATTGTGAGCCATACAAATGTTGATTGGTGTTAGTGGAAGCTTGAGTTTAAAGTAGTCACACCGCAGGCTAGCAAGGACCTGGAGAACTGAAAAGTAAGAATCCCTTGCCTCCAATAACCAGCTTCCTCCCTGCCTCTGTGGTTCACCCCAACTTACTTGCGGCTGCCAAGCAATCTCTCTCAGGGAATAAGGCAGGGAACAGTTAACCTGCTTGTTCAGTCACAGCTGCCACAGCAGGGTTGCCGCTCTTCTCCAGGCTGAGCCCAACCCAATGCCAGGAGCACCAGTGGGTAACACGGCTCCAAGATAATCTTACCCTGGAGTGGCATAACTTTGAGTCATGTAACAATTGCTTAAAACTAGTTTCAGGAGTTAATGTGCAGACAAATTCACAGTTTAAGGCCTTCAGGAGCTGCCCAAAATTACCTTGTAACGTGACCTTTAGAAGCACCATGCTAATCTAACAGAAATCAAATGTATAATTCAAAGAAATTAAAAGATTAAAAGCATATCTGAGAAATCTCTCTTAGCCTAGCAGTATAAAAGCAGGGTGTGACTCCCTTCTTTTTGATTACCACTAACAGAAACCAAGTTACGCTTCTCACTTTAGTTTTAATTGCTTCTTACTTGCATTGCCAGATACACCTCCATTCTCCTGAGCCAGCATCTATTTTTTCAGCATTTCCATCTTCCAAATGAACATTGGACCAGAGCTGCAGAGAACTGGAACCAGTCAAGAGACGAGTGCCTAATGAAAACGTTTTATGTTATAAAAGTAGAAGTACAAAGAAAGCTATGAAGTACAGCTTTTTATACTGAAAGTCTGTTAGTTATATCACTAACATTCAGCTTTTGCATTAACAAACTGCCAAATGCATTACAGAATTCCAGTATGCCATTTACTGTACACAAACCAAACCTTATGTAATGGGCACAATCCTGCAAGATGGCCTAGTGGCCTAGATAGCAACCATTTGACAGGTTGGACTAGCAATGCCAGAAAACGAGTACTCATTTTACACACTAAGTTGTATTTCATATTTAATTTGCATGTCCATAATTCAAATATTTACCACCACAATTAAATTCTATCATGTCCCTACAGCAGTCTACTCCTCCGCACAGACATCTGTGTGCTACTGTAATATTTCAAAAAAAGAATATGCTACTACAATACAAAGGGGCCAAAATGAAGTGTCCTCTCTTCTGCCTTTATAATGCTATCTAAAGAGCTCCACAATTCTTTGAAATGGCCAGCACTGGATAATATATTCCATTACCCAAGATGTAACAAGTGAAATGGAGACAGTGTTTTCTTAATGCACACTTCCAAGAAGATACATTGTAAGCATCACATGACAAGTTTTAAAAAGGTACATTTTACTCTACTCTGACCTTCCCAGGCCTTATCTTTTAACTTCTTAGACCAAAAGGAAATTTTGATCCTTCCAAAGAACAAAAAGATTAACATAAGAAAACCTAAATTTGCAATAGACAAGTTCCAGTTAATTTCATCCTTACCTGTAGGATCCCATGTTAAGTTATGTGCAATAGATTCCAGTAAAATTTGAGCAGTCTTCTGCCACTGATAATGTAGCCCCTAAAATTAAAGTGGCATGTATTAGTTTAAGTGACATTCTTCCTAGTCTATTAATGGCTTTTCCCAGTTAATGTCCTGAACTCAACAGGAAGTCTTACTTAAGCATTAAGTTCTAACGTATGTCTAGTTACCAAAATCTTTTAAAAGAAAAACTAGAAAATGATAAGACAAGCTCATAGAAAGCACAACAGTGATCTCATTTTAAGTTAATGTATCAATTAACTGAATTTAGAGCCATAAATGTACATGCAATTGATAAAACAATTTATTTTAACTTATAAAAAGTGCAACTGATTTGAAAGCAAAAGAAATAGCAAGCAAATGATACAATACTACAACTATTGCCAATACGAACACTAGATGCACCTAAAATGAGTAGGCTTTAGACCAAATTCACAAATAGTACTTCCCCACCAAAAAAACAAATAAAAAAATGACAAGCATTTTACAGAGCTCTGGGTAATATCCAGATTATGGTGAATGCTTTCCACTTCACTGGAACCTACCTAAGAATTAAAAAAAAAACAACAACAAAAACAAACCCAAGAAACATTTGCCCAATATGTAGTCCACCTTCAACCTTTGGGACAGGGTGGTTAGTTTTCTCTTACTTAGTACCCACATTTTCCAAATCAAGAGTTAATTATTGCGAAATACATTAAGAGCCAAAAAACTTTCATCAGCCAGGGTTTTGCAGTCCAACTTTAAAAAGCAATTCACCCTCACTCCAAATAAATAATATACCAAGCTGCAAACTTAGCATCGGATCTGTGAAATGCAGAATCTAGGACATATGAAGCATTTAACATTGTGATACTCTTGTTAACTAATGCAACTGTTAGCAAATGAAATACCTGGGGGGAGGAGAATCAAAAGCTCAACATGGAATTTAGCTAATTTTTTAAAAAGTCTGAAGGGCATGGATTTTTGTGTGGGATAGCCTTTATTGGAACATCTGTATCATTAGGCCAAATTTAAATAAGTTTTTGAATACACTACATTCTTTTTCAAGTCTCAAGAAGTCATAGCATTTGAGGAAGTTCACTGTTGTCTATGAAGGGTGTCATCCTGCCCAATCTTTTTCTTGATTTAAAACTAACCCAGCTAGCCACCTTTATTTTAATTTGGTTGCTGCCTTGAATGAAAAAAGTCACTCCCAAATAAAAATGAAATCACAGAAATTATTTTAAGTTTCAAAGGCATCCAGTCTTAGACCATTCACTTACAGTATGGTGATCGTTCTTCTGCTTTAGAAGAGCAATTGGTTCAAAGATACAAATAACGTTTCCATAAGAAGCTGCAATCTAAACACAAAATAATATAAAGAAATATTAATTAGAAAGCTAGTTGGAAATATAAATAGTTTATTCTACTGTCATTTCTCCTTTGTAAATTCACTTGTTTTCTTCTTGAGCTTATTCCTACATTTCTAACTCATTAGCAAAAACTTAAAATAAAAAATTAGGTAACTTCTCATGCTTGTAGACTATTTAAAAAAAAATAATAGAACTAGGGGAAAAATCCCTTCAAGTGATTTTTTGGGTAAGATATTGAACGATGGAATAAAAAAATATTTAGATGTGTATGTATAACTTACACAGATCTGGTACAAAGAATCCTTCCACATGCAAATTTAAAGTACCACTTGAAAAAAAACAAACAAACCCTCAGTTAGTAATGTGGTGAGATGAAAGACTGCACTCAGCCATGTACCTTTTTTTGTATCACTGTTATATTGTGGATCAACCTCTGCGAACAACAGAACAAGACATTCACGATAACCAGTGAACAACAAAAATAACAAACATGCAAAATCAAGCAAGTTAGCACAATCCAATTCTAACAGCAACATAAAAGTTTGCAATAAGGGCTGTTTCATTCATGGAATTCCATGTCATATTTTATATTACAGCTATTAGTTAATTGCAGTTTCTGTATGCAATTAATACAAATGCAAACTAACACACATTTTATTAATAAGCATTAATTTCACACCCTGCGCCACTGCTAGCCCCAGCCCCACAGTACTGGCGGGGACTCATGCAGAGCCCCAACCCCGAACCACCCTGTACCCACTCCAGACATGGCCTGACAGAGCAGACCAGCATCAGACCAGCTGGAACCCACACACACAGTCCCAACGCCTGCTCCGGACTTGCCTGCCCACACTGAGTAGTGGCAGTGGCCAGGCAGAAGCTTCTACTCAGCACAGGGGAAAAGCAGCCCCTCCCCCTTGCTGCTGCCAGGCCGTTTTTGCTACAGCCACCCAAAACCCACACATGGGCTACCTTGCAGCTCCAATTCACTGCTGCTTCCCAGCTGCCCAGCAGTGGCAGTGCAAAGGCACTGGAGGGCAGCCCAGGTGCAGGCTCCGGGTAGCTGCAGCAAGAAGGGACTAGCAGTGGCAAAGGGGAGGGGCTACTCCCCCCTCCGTACCAAGCAGGAGCTTCTGCCAGGCCGCTGCTGCTTAGCATGGGAGAGCGAGTCTGAAGTAGGCGCAGGGTGGGCTGATGTCGGAACTGTTTGCACAGGCTCTGGCTGGTTTGTGCCAGCCGGTGCGTTCTGGAGCAGGCATGGGGCAAGCCAGGGGCAGGGCACATGGCTTCACACCAATGGGTGGAGGTGTGCTGGGTGTCAGGACTGGGTGTTGACTATTGCTTAACTGTGTGATCAAACTGCAGTTAATTGTAACTATTTTTTTCATCTCACAATTAACTGCAATTAATTTTTTCATGGTTTGTCAGCCCTATTTTATATATAGGAACAACCATTAATATAAACATATATGAATGCATGTTTTAAAGTTATTTTCTCCTAGAACAAATTTAAAGGAGAGCTACAGAGACTGTAAAGACTTCCAGCTAGGAGTCATTTCCCGCCAAGACAGTATGTT